ATAAACAATCGTGGTACAAAGCTCAATAAAAATATTAAAAATAGAAAATAAAAATGGTTTATCGCCCCTTAATGCGGACAACTTCTTTTCATAATGAGTAATATTAAGATTTTCAATTTTAATTATAAAATTTAATAATAAAAATACATAAAACATTTTTTCTGAAAAGGCCTTAAACCTTAAATTTCTAAAGTAAAAATTCGCAAATCCTATCTACTTGGATTCACTTGTCAAATAAGGTTAAATGACTACTCAAAGACAAAAGTAACATGATTTTTTCACACAGCACAATTTTTGGGGTTTTCTTTTGGGCGATTTGAAAATTTTGAACAGAAAAAGTATTTTATAAAGCAATTTCACATTATTATATGCCGTTTTCTTTTCTCGAAAAAAGGCTTCACATATTCTGCCCAAAGTTAGCGCTCTCAAAATTTCATGTTCTTTTCTCAGCCTTTTCATAGGGCTCTCTGATCCGGCAAAAGTGCTGCTTTTTCTGCACTTCCGATGGAGTAGCATATTTTCTGTTTCATTCTCATATGAAAAACGCAAAATTTTCTCATGTGTATACACCCTATTATAAGTACCTACCATTAAAATGGCTGCATACCAAATTTCAAGTTCATGCGACTTATAGTTCCGGATTTACAGCTGATAAAATATTCCAGGTCCGTGGGACCGCCTTTTACAAACTCCTTTATATATACCCTACTATAAGCACCTATCACATATATGACCGCATAACAAATTTCAAGTTCATTTGACCTATGGTTCCGAAATTATATCTGATTAAAAATTTCACGCCCATGGGAGGTGCCCCCCTTGTTGAATCCCAATATTTTCACTCTATTATAGGCACAGGTGTCATGGCAATACTCTGTCAAAATTTCTTTCTGTTCTGTCCGTCCGTTTAGGCTGCAGCCTGGCGCATACCCACATACATACACACATACTTCCTCAAATATATATGTACATAGTAAATTACAACGCATTTATCAACTAACAATCAGTGTTGCCGCGAAACTTTTTAGTGGTAGCTAAATCCCAGCTAAAAAAGGGCTAAAAAAGAGCTAAAAATCGTCGTTGTGGCTAAAAATGGTAGCTAAATTTTTTTACCTACATCTCTTATATATAAAAATAAGTGCACGTTTTTGGTGTGACCTCATAACTTGAGAACGGCTTCACCGAATTCAACCAAATTTATACGGCATATTCAGGCTATCATGCAGATGGTTTATGTGAAGTTTGCCCGAATTCGTAAAAGGGGGTGTGGCACCTTCCATACTAACTAAAATTTTTTTGTTGTATAGCTCTTGAAATATTTGTGGTAGAGTACTGGAAGTTGGTATAGAGGTATAACAAATAATTCCATACTCATGGATAAAAATTGGCAGTATTGTAAAAGAGGGCGTGGCACCTCACATCTTATATATAAAGAATAAGTGCAAGATTTCAACCAAATTTATACGGCATAGTCGGGCTATTATGCAGATGGTTTGTGTTAAGTTTCCCCGAATTCGGGCACCACCCATACTAACAAAAATTTTCATCTGGTATATCTCTTGAAATATTTGTGGTAGATTACTGGAATTGGTAGCTATACGTGGCCTGTTCAAGAGTTGGCATTCCAAATTGTTTATTTATTCATACCCAAGATGGAAAAACAAAAAATGTTGTATATCCAAATCTGTTGGATTAAGATTTAAAATAAAGAATAAAAAATTTTGAAATAAAACAAATGATAAATTTTCATATAGATAAATTCCAGGACTTTTCATTCGTTTTTCAATATTTGGTGTAGAGAAGCACACCGGGGTACTGCTAGTATAAATATATAAGTATACACGCAAACATTTTATATAATTACTGGTATAGAAAAACAATGAACTCTGAAAAGAATTAATATTTCATTCAACAAAAAAACTTTTTGTGTAACACATAAAGCATATTAAGGGCCGCCAACTTACCTATTTTGAAGTATAGTTAAATCGTTAATGGATAAGATAACGGCCCAGAAACGTAAGGAACATACATAGAAATATGTTTACTTACCTTAAAGGAAAGGCGTTCGCTTTATGAGCGAAGAGTTAAATTCATGAATATCATAAAAAAAATTTGAATGTCAATGATGAATAAATTTTGAAAAGGACTAAAAAAAGGGCTAGGGGCAATTTCAAATTTTTGTGGCCAAAAAAAAGAATTTGGTAGCCAAATTTAGCCACCAAAGGACTAAAACGGCAACACTGCTTACAATGTTGTTTATCCAGTTAAAATCAAAGTTCCTATAAAAGTCTAGACATCAACCGCGTCGGTAGGTATCATATCAAAGAACATACAATTAGGCACTAGAGGTAAATGTCGTTAAATATTGCGCCAAAAAATATGCACTACTTACATTACGGCGGAAATGGACGACACGACATTATTTTAATATGTATACAAATTTATACACTTTGCTTATAGTTATGTAGTGCATATTTCTAGGCTCTTTATTTTGCATAAAACTCTAAACACAAGCCCTCGAACATATTTTAAAAACCTTTGTTTTTCAAAAGCTACATATTATTGTTAATTTTTACTTAAATAACCACTAGCTACTACATATGTAACATATGTATTTTCTGAAATTCATTTATACTTAATTATAACGAACACAGCGAACAATAAGATTAAAGCTAGTTAAACGCTTAGAGCGCAACAAAGCGATTTCTATTGATTTACTCTAGACTTGAAATCAGGGATAGCATTCAATTTAAATCAGCCGTCGATCTTTTCCTCAATTCATCGCCTGAATTTTCTTTGGCGCCTCTTCATTTACCTCCTCAACGTTATCCTTTAATAGGTAATCAGGTGCATCCCATGGTTGTACCTTTGCGGAACCGAATATTAGGAATACTAGATTTCCGATAAAGAATATAGCTGCTGAAATTATGAATATGGTTTGCCACTGATTGCGATTGTGCTAGAAGAAAAAACAAAAGAGGTGTTTAAGTCTAACAGTATTACACCCTAAAAGTAATTCCACCCAATATGCAACAACTCACCTCATCTGTGACTACAGCGCCTGCCACTAATGGAGATATTAAAGTTATCATATTCGCCAACGGATTTACAATTCCCATTACAACACCAGCATGATTCGGTGACAAGTCGATTGCACTGAGTACACAGCCCATGGTTGCGCCAGCATGTAAGCTTACATTCAAGGTCAACAGTGCAATAGCGAGTGCTTCGTTTGCATCGTCAAGAAATCCAATTCCGCTAACGAATATAGCCGGTAGCCACAAAGCCATTGTATTGGCTATTTTACGCATTGCCGTCAGTGACAACCAACCCCTCGCTACAGCCATATTTCCGAATATCAGATACACATAAGACATAATCCAACGAGCAATGTAGGGTATGGTCGAGAAGAAAGCATTACTGACGATATTCATGCCGAACACACCATTTAAATACGAAGGAATCTGCGTTTGCATGGTGCTGTAGCCCCATATTTCGGCACAGCGTGCAACGATTAATGCGAAGAATGGCACCGATGTAAGAATTGCCAACCATGGTACCGGTATTCTCTTCTTATGGAAATCTTCCTCACGTTTCAACGACGTCTCAATGTACTGGCATTCCTCCTTTGTTATAAAACGAGACTCTGGCGGATTATTAGCAGCCAGTATAAACCACAGCGCGCACCAACCAAAACATAAGCCACCTGAGATATATGAAATACCGGGCCAACCTAGTGGACTACTGGCTATCAAACCACTTACAAGCATAGCCAAAACATTGGCACAATCCATGCCCGAATAAGTGAGCGCGCCGATCGTGTTACGTTCCGATGGCGGCGACCATTTGGCGATGTGCTCATGAATTGCTGGGAAAAGAGCACCTTGGAAAAGACCCTGCATTGTACGAATGGCGCAGTATACCTGCCAGTCTCCCCACGGCACCAGTAATGGTATGAGTAAGCTGAATATCGCCGATCCAAAAGTGCAAACGAACATGACGATCTTTGTACCAAAGCGTTTACTCAAGTAGCCGCCCGGTAATTGTGTTAGTACACAACCCCAGTAGAAACTGGATATGATGTAGGACTTCTGTTGTGTGGTCCAATCAAATTCCTGAAAAAAAAATATATTATTTTTATGTGAGATGACTCTGAATCTTTTTGGATACGGTTACCTGAAAATTGGCATTTGTACTTTCGGCATTTGTCATCGCTACTAAAGCTACGGATACATTAAAGCTACTCATGCCAACAAAAGCTATGTTAAGAAAAAGCAACATAGTCTGTATATGGCGGGTGCCAAAACGAGGACCTAAAAATGAAATATAAACAAATTGAGACATTTTAATCCGCAAGATGCTAGTACTACTTTTGAGGTGACACAGAAACCTTCTAGTCTATAAATTTAAGTATTAAAAATATACTAAGTAGTTGATACCACTAAAGGCACATAGACTGAACATAGCAGATATCTTGAATATCGTTGAAATGAAGTGATTGATATACCTACAAGGGATGCCAGTTCCGGTATACCGGTGTTTTTGAGGTCCCGAAAATCCCAGGATTTGCTTGCATTAATCCCGGGATTCGGGACTTTGATCTGAGCCTTTTTTCAAGAAGATTTAAATGAATGTACTAACAGCATCGCTAATGTTAACGAAAGATAAAGTTGTAAGGAAAAGTTACATAATTTTTTAAATCAATCTTCTCAAACTTCCTCAAGTCGAAAACTTGTAATTTATCCGACGTGCTGGTAAAAGAAGTTCAAATATTTAGTAATGGAGGATATAGGGAGCATTATCTACCTTTTGACTGTTCAGGCTAAAAGTGTTTAGGCCGAAATATGTTTTTCATCAGCAGGTTTTGTGAGTAACAACTTTAGGTCAAAATCAGAAGACTCCGCTTTGAATTTTCGCTGCTCTTACGTACACATTTTAATAACAACACATGTGTGCTTTTAACCAGACCATACCAACATGAATTTCGGCCCGCTGAATCTGATTCTGAGGTCCGTTTTACTTGAACACCCTAACAAATTTCGAGTAGATTGCGAAAGAATGGCAAAAAATCGTCTTTCGCCATTTCTTTATGGAGTAGAACAAACGTATTTAGATAATTTGTTTTTGTAAATCTTTGTTTAATATTTTTTTTTTTAGCCGACTTCACGAAAAGGAGAAGGTTATGACTTCGTCGGAATATTTATTAATTTTTTTTTTATACCCGAGCGCACTTGTGCACAAAGGTATTATAATTTTGTTCTCATAACGGTTGTTTGTAACAGCCAAAACGAATCGAGATAGGATGGACAAATTTATACATAAATTATCAGGATGAAAAAAGAAATCGATTAAGCCATGTCTGTCTGTCCGTCCGTCTGTCCGTCTGTCCGTCTGTCCGTCCGTCCGTGTACACGATAACTCGAGCAAAAATTGAGATATCTCAACGAAATTAGTATGTAGGTTGGTATTGAAAATGGGCGAAATCGGATTGTAACCACGCCCACTTCCCATATAACGGTATATTCGAAAAATGCAAAACCTGCGATAATTCAGTAAATATTAGATGAAAAAATTAAAAAAATTAGTATGTGGAGTAGAATTGTGGTAAAAAAATATAATAATAATATAATATTGTTATGAAATTTTTGTAAAATGGGCGTGACCCCGCCCACTTATGATGAAATGCTATATCTCAGTAGCCGCTTCACCAATTCTTACCAAACTCAGAATAATGACGATACGCGGTTTTGTACTGTAAGCGACGATATGTATGTTTGTTTCACGTTGTGACTCATTTTAAAATTTAAGGGTCCATTTATTATTGGATTTTTCTATGAATTTTTATCAGAAGTTATTATTATTAGTTATTTGTTTTGTTTTGTAGTAGATTATCTAGTGAACAAACATTTGTACTTATAGATAAGATATTAGTTGGATTTTTTAAAATTAGATTTTGTTATCTTTGTGATATTCTCAAATTAATATTTGGAATTGAATTTTCTATTTTAAGTACACAAAGTAATCATGCGCCGACAAATATCAAAAACAGGATGCAGTACGTCAGCTGCCAAAAAAATCATTCAAGTCGAAGTATTGAAAATGACGGCATGAGTCGCTGGCGGAACGTAGCTAACGTCCATTTATCGCTGGACCGTGAGTGGCATGCGTCCCAAGGAGTTTGAAAGTCATCTGTGCAACCTGATGCCCGGTTGTCTTTACAGCGGGATAAGCATAATGCTCTAAGGGAAACAAAATCGTCTGAAGATATACAACTCCGACTAGTACCGACCGAATTTGACACAAAAATTTATGGAATAATATATATGCACGTGTATACGGATAGCCAAATAAAGAACAATCTGCAGTGAACTACGACACAACATTTGGTTATAAAAATGCATAAGAATTTTCATTAGAAGCTCTAACATAACAGAAATACTATTAGGGTCCGCTACGCTCCTGTTCCTCCACTATACCTAGACAAGGTGGCCACAGCAATAAAATAAAAAGAACAAAGCCCCTTCAGCACACGATTTATTGGTTGAACTATTCAAAACCCACAGAAAAGAGTCCGGTCGGTAGATTACAGTACCAGACTAAAAGCATAATTTGTTCTGTTGAATACATGCCCGATGATTGGAATCGCAGTGAACTTTGTCCTATCCATAAAAATGAAGATCTTGCTGTTTGCGCCAATTACCGCCATATAAGGTCCCACCGACGATACTGTGTGAAAGGCTGAAGCTGTTTATCATTTTATCTTATCAGTGTGTGTTTCCGATCTAATACATAAGTCCTCCATTGATCACCTTCTTAACGCATGCCACACCCTGGCGTTGGATTCTGTAACTGTGAGAGAATGTAGTGCACACCGAGTACAAAACTCACAACTAAAAGCACAACGAATAAAATTCAATGACTTTTTCGGAAGAGAAGTGTGCACAATTTTGACACCTAAAACTCATTCTCACACTTCCTGAACCGCAAAAAGAAGGTTACAGAATCCAGCCCATGGAAAAGACACTGGCTAAGCATATCAACACACACCATCTTTTAGTCGATTTTGAATGTCACAATTGAGAAAGAGCTCAGCCAAAAACAAAACAAACAAAATGTGGGCATCAAATTTTTTTTTTTTTTTTATCTCTTAATTCCTCAAATATTCTGTTAACCTTTCTCTATTTTTGCAGTACTCAATTCTTCACTCATTTTCCAGCGTTTTTGCTACGTGTCAAGATTTCATTCATCAATCACGAATTTTAGTATTTTTAGAACTAGACTATTTGCTTGCTATACGCTAACTACTTTGGCCAAGAGCTGATAAGTTACTGACAAAATTGCATTGTTTATTAAATAGATTAGCTCCAGTTTAGTGGATTTTTCAAAAGCTGATTTTCGCGTTCAACAGACGGGCGTTAGCACAAAGGAAGGTCAAAGATTTTGAGTCATATGGTAGAGATAGGCATACCGATAAGATGCTTTGGTCTTTAAAAGTTCTTTCAACATGCGTTGGCACCGTACAGCACTTTAAACAGGAAAGCAATCGTTTTTTGTTTTTTTTTTTTAATAAAATAATTCGAACATCAAGTTGGCTTTGATTAAACAAAAAACGGGAATTCATTGTCTTTTAGGCACTGTTATAAAAACTATAAGCTACCTGCTCGACAGAGCGTCGTCATCGATGCCAGCCACAAGCCAAGCCAGCGCAATCGTATGCACACTAAATTTTTTTTAGAAATTCTGATTAAAAAACTGGCAATTTTAATAAAACTTTCTTCTTTCGTTTTAATCTTTGACCAAAAATTTAATTTTGGACTTACATCTAAGGTTTCGACGTACATTTAAGGTATGCACAAGCCGCATAAAGGCAAAATTTAAGACTATCAGCCTAAATTGCGCAGACGCTCAGTTCATTCAGGGTACATCATAGGATAATAGCTTAAAGCACCTGTTATATCTGCAGCCGATACCCTTTCATAGGTTTTCAACTCTACTTTTGATAAACAAAAGGCTTGGCCGTATAATTCTAGATATCTTAAACTAAAGCTAAAACACATTATCTAACCTGGGTTTATGCATACAAAGAAAACCAAATGAATTGAAAATATATTAGTTCTTTACCGCTATATTTAAAGCTATTTACATTGATTACACTTATCAATTGATAACTAGTTAGTAGTTAGATATAATTTGGATCTACACTTTGGTAACAAAAATCATTCGCTCTTCCTCGCAACATTATCTGCCTTACTTCTCTCATCCTTTCCACTAATATTGGATTTAACAGATTCAAGATCCTCTATCACCCACCCTTCGCTTTTCTTCTCATCATCTTCATCGCCAAAAATATCCTTAAACGTACTTGTTGGTGTCACTTTTATTGGATTTTCAATATTCTGCTCCGTCAGATAATCAGGTGCATCCCATGATTGCGCTTCAGCAGAACCAAAGACTAAGAAAATTAAATTGCCAAAAAAGAAAATGGAAATCTGCGATTATGAATACGATTTGCCACTAGATGCGATCATGCTGAAAAAAATATATATATTTGAAGTTATTCATAGCAATTTTATCTGTGACTATAACGCCTGCCACCAATGGGGTTATTAAAGGTATGACACTCGCCAGCGGATTTACCATCCCCATTACAACAGCAGCGTGATTGGGTGACAAATCGATTGTACTGAGTACACAACCAACAGTGGCGCCCCCATTGAAGCCCACATTCATTGTCATTAAAGCAATTGCAAGTACTTTATTTGTTTCGTCAAGGAACCCGATGCCGATCATGAAAAAAGCTGGCAACCAAGAAGCCAATATGTTGGCTACTTTACGCATTGTTGGCAATGTCAGCCAACCCTTCCTCACCGCAATGTTGCCTAATATCAGATAAACGTATGACATTATCCAGCGGGCGATGTAGGGTAGTGCAGAGAAGAAGGCATTACTTTTGATATTCATATTTAGAACGCCATTCATGTAGGATAGAATTTGTGTTTGCGTGGTGGAGACGCCCCGCGCTTCAGAACAACGTGCAATGATCAAAGCGAAAAATGGCATTGATGTCAGCATCGCCAGCCATGGTATGGGTATTCTCTTTTTGTGGAAATCTTCCTCACGTTTCAATGATGTCTCAATATACTGGCATTCCACAGGCGTTATAAAACGTGACGATGGTGGATTATTAGCAGCCAGTATAAACCACAGTGCGCACCAAACAAAACATATACCACCTGAGATATATGAAATACCGGGCCAGCCTAGAGGACTACTGGCTATCAAACCACTTACAAGCATAGCCAACACAGTGCCACAGTCTGCGCCGGAATATGAGAGTGAACCGATCATATTACGGTGACCATTTGGCTATGTGCTCATTAATAGCTGGGAAAACAGCACCCTGGAAAGACCCTGCATTGTACGAATGGCGCAGTAAACCTGCCAGTCTCCCCACGGCACCAGTAATGGTATGAGTAAGCTGAATATCGCCGATCCAAAAGTGCAAACGAACATGACGATATTTGTGCCAAAGCGTTTGCTCAAATAGCCACTTGGAAATTGTGTGATTACATAACCCCAATAAAAACTGGATAATATGTAGGACTTCTGTTGTGCGGTCCAATCGAATTCCTGGAAAACAATGGAAAGATTGTAAGTAAGTAAGTAAGCAAATAAATAGAGCCGGAAGATATATTTGAACTCGATTACCTGAAAATTTGGATTCGGGGTTGCCGCATTTGTCATTGCCACCAGGGCGACTGAAGCATTCAAGCGGCTCATGTAAACAACAATGTTGAAAAAGAGCAGTAGTGTCTGAACATGGCGAATGCCAAACCGGGGGCCTAAAGGATACAAAAAAAAAAACAGGATTTTAAGATACTGGTGAAGATGTACGTATATCAGAAGAGTTTAGTTTTAGTGCAAAGAGTACATTCGCAAAAAATTTTGATCTCAATGGTCAAACTCCAACTCACTAAAATTAAAACCAGCGCAAACCAACTGTCTGAGCCTTATCAGCATAGATTCACATCCGAACCATTGACGCTCTTAATTGGTTTTAACGGCATTTTGATAAGTAGGTATATCCATTCATAAAATTTTTTTTTTTTTAATTTGTGGAAAACAGCTGCACTAAATTTTTTTCCGTCGTTTTAGTCTTAAGACACTTGAAATTATTCGAGTACTACATACATTTTAGATAGTAATATTTGTTGTCGATAAAGCAATTATGTATGTCTTTTAACACTTAAATATGTCAAAAACTCTTGGTATGACTTTTTGAAATATTTAGACGAGTTTGTCTGCCATCTGATATGGCTATTTTGATAGCCGTGTTATAGAAACGTAGAATACGTGATATTATTAAGACCACATTCAAGTTTAAAACGGTACACGAAATATTTATTTTGATTGTATTGAATTTAATTTAATAAATCAATATGAATTGCAAAATATTAATACTTAGCAATAGAGAAGCAGATCCACATTAACTTCAATCATATGTATCTGATATTGTGATACCTACATAAATATTTCATGTGCCTGATGAATTAAGTTAAACTTTTTTTTTTAATATTTGACAACTATCCTAAATATAGTTCATAAATAAAGCCTATTTAACCCCATTTCATCTGATACCCACATTTTTAATAACTGCTTTCACTTATTAAATAATTTGAGTTAACCTTTTTGAACAGGTGGCAATCCTGTTTACTATTATTATTATTTAAACTAAGGATCCCTTACCATCTTTGTTTCACGCCATGTTTTAATATTTCATTCAATTAAATTCTAATTTTAAAACAGGTGGCCACCCTATTCAAAATATTTTAAAACCAAAATGTTGTTAAAGCTTTTTCGACCGACAGACATATTGCGATACATATTTAAATTGTATATCTAATTCCCTTAATTCAAGTTGAATTTAATTTCTGAAACATATGGCAACCCTCTTAATAAAATTAAGATAAAAATATTTTGTACGAATGTCAATTTATACCCATACTTTAATAATTCATTTGGCTTATTAAATAATTTGAGTTTAACTTTTTACACAGGTGGAAACCCTCTTTAATTTTAATGCTGAAACAAAATTTTGTCATAATACTCCTCTCTTTGACGCCAATATTTCATAAAATTTATTTTAATTCGACTTTTCAAACAGGTAGCAATCCTGTTCAAAGTATTTTTATACCAAAATCTCGTTAAACCTCTTAATTCAATTTGAATTTAATTATAAAACCAGGTGGCAACACTCCTACATGCAGTTTGAAAATAAAAGTTTCTTCAAAGCAATTTTGATTTATATTCACATTGAAGTAATTTATTTAACCTATTGCTTATATTGAATGTAACTTTGTAACAAGGTGGCAACCCTCTGCCAAATATTTTCAAACCACAACCTCTTTCGTCGGACATACATTTTTTATAATGACTTTTGCTAAAATTTCAAAATCAAAAGTTATCAAAACAAATTCTATGGGACTGAGAATTATTATTTTCCACTTTTTAGTCTATTTATAAAAGCTTTTCTTATATAATTTATTTTCTACTTTTTAGTCTTGTCTGTATAAAATTTTGCAATAACCTCTACCGACGAGGTAGGGTGACATCCTAGACTTTTTATAGGAACTTTGCAAAGCAAAGGTTTTATAGTTACAATGGTGTCTGGACACACAACATTGCAAGTTGATAAAAGCGTTGTAAAAAACCAGCCTTATTATGAGTTTCATTTTTCTCGAACTAGTTCACTTATCACTTTTCGTTTCGTATTCACTACGGGCGGATGAAAAAATTTCGGGCGAATCTAACGATAGATAAGTTTGAGTGAATATTTTTTTTGGTGAATATGGTTCGATTGCTACGAAGACAGTACTTTTGGTGTTTAGTTTTGAGTGCACTCATCGCGAATTCATGTAGGACGACCTCAAGAGGAACCAGCTCATTAACAACTGAAACAAGAGCAGAATCCCGATCTTCATGGTTAAGTGAGAAAAAATACCGTGAATGTCCAATTACTTCGGCGTGCCGCTCCATTGAATATATATAGAACTTCAGTGTGTTACAATTGACAAATCACATCTCTAATTTTCGGAACTGAGATCTGTAGGGGTTTAAGACAAGTAACTACTGTTAAAACAACTATCATAACCTCTGACATCATTGCATTAATTAGGCAGTTTAAGTATTCGAGCCATAGGCAGGTGTCCGTGAAGAAGTCCTTCCAGTTCTCCAATGAACAGACGTTTCATGTACAGTTAATTGTGTCAATTTCGATACGAGTATATCAACGAAATCAATTTGACGAAATTTTTTGTTCTTCATTCGCTGGCGACAACAATGATTCGCTCTGGGGCCTATTTCATAAAGCGACAGTGTTAATTTTGTAACGACAGGCATTTTCCATGTTGTCGGTGACAATTCGACAGTTTGGTGGGTATTTTGTTTCACAAAAACAATTGTCACCACCTTTTAAATTCCATGAGAAATTCCTTTTAAAAAGTGAGAAATTGTCATAGTTGGGGTTTAAATTGTCATTGACAAAATTGTCGCCTGTCATATGAAATTTATATGTAAATCATATGTAATGATTGCATTTGCATTATTTTTAGTTTTAAGGAATATTCAAATTATTCAAAAGTAATTAAATGCGCCCAATTACCATATAAATAAATTTACAAAACTCTCCTGTGAAAGCTTTCTGACGGAGCTTTTTGGTTTTGTCGCCATTGTCACATGTGAAGACTTGTTTGAGTCACCGTAAACATACACAAAATTTTCTCGCTTAAAGTAATAAGATATGCAAAAAAAATGTATTCACCTCTTTCGACTTGCTTTATAATTTTTTCTGCTCTCATTTTATC